CTATTGGACAGTACCTTTCTCTGAGTACGAACTTCCCATGGACGCTATCTTCTTCCCACACGTTATCTCCCTTGACTCACCTTCTACCAATGGGCGCCCTTGTATTTCTCATTTCTCTGAGTTACATTCTCACAGGACAGCTTACGCGTCCTTTCTTATTGTTCTCTTCTTTGGGTATTAACCCCTATACCAGTTACTATATATACTGTAGGAAAACCCATGTATTCCTTAGTTCAACCTCCTGTTGAATACAGCGATTACCTGGACTCTTGACTTGACCGTTGGCATTGGCCCGGCCAGACCTACCTTTCAGTACGCTTACTGAGGTAGTGACGACATAACTGTTGGCACGTGGCCCAGTTATCTCAAGACGACTAGTTAGGACATCGCTTCCTAACATTAGGTTGAACTCTTCTACGACACTTGCCGACTTCTTCAAGCCTAGGCAACCCCTCCTCTACTCCTGATCATCCTTGTTGGACTCCCTAGTGGAATCCCGTCCCTTGAACCAGAACCATGACGAACCCGATCGATCCCACTGCCCAAACGGCTGGAGCAGGCATTGCTGCACCAGTCATGCAAGCACGACCAACTGAAATCAAGATCCGTCTCCCAGATGACTTCAATGGAGACAGGAAGAAGACCCGAACGTTTTACCTTGCCACTCAACTATACATGATGGCAAACAAGCACATCTATGACACCGACGAGAAGAAGATCATGTTCTTCATCTCCTTCTTGAAAGAAGGAACTGCTGGCCCATGGGCTGAGGCAGAGATGACGAAGGCATTCACCAACGACCAAGGATTTGGCACATGGGAAGCCTTCACAACACGATTCCTGAACGCCTTCACTGAGGCAGACACCGCTGGAGATGCGAGAGCAAAGTTGCGCGTGCTGCGCCAGACGGCCACAGCAGACGAATACATTGCGGAATTCCGCATGTTGACCGCACGATGCGGAATCACTGAAGACGTATCCTTGATCGAGTACTTCCAAGAGGGACTCCAGAACAAGCTAGTCGAGAAGGTCTATGGCATGGAACACGTGCCTAAGACGATCGATGAATGGTATGAAGCCACATCCCGGTTCGACAACCAGTATTGACGGGCGAGAGCGGTCATTAACCGATACAAGGGAGTTGGACAGACCAGAAACCTTGTCACTCCAAGGTACACTCCTCCCACGAAGGACCCCAATGCTATGGATGTCGATCGCCTATCGACCAGCGAAAGGGAAAAGTACATGAAGGAAGGACGATGCTTCACTTGCGGGCAGACTGGCCACAGAGCTGCGGATCACAAGCAGGACAAAGGAAGACAGCCAGACAGAAGGCCTGTCCGTACCGCAGAAGTCAAAGAAGACTCAGACAAAGAAGTGTCTAATATCGCCAAGATCAAAGCCATGATGGCGGAACTTGAAGAGAATGACAAGATCAAGCTTCTCGAAGATATGGCGGAGAAGGATTTTGCCTAAGACGACCTGCATCAGCGTCAGGCTCGTCTCGTTCCTACCTTTCTACTGTAACTATAGCAAAGACTGTTGACCAGTCGATGAAGATCAATATTTTGCTATCACGTGGAAAGGGAAGCGCTGAAACGACTGCAGAAGCCCTTATTGATTCAGGGGCTGGAGGAATTTTCATCGACCAGAAGTTTGTGTTGATGAACAAACTGAAGACGGTCCCTATACCAAGACCAATCAAGGTCTTCAATGTTGATGGCACCAAGAACAGGCAAGGTCTCATTACCAAGGCCGCATTCCTACAGATGAAAATTGGAGATCGAGTCCGCTCTGTCCGATTTTTGGTCACCGACCTGGGAAAAGAAGACGTTATTTTGGGACTACCTTGGTTACAGAAGAACAACCCAGAGATCAACTGGGTTACTGGACGGATTGACTTTGGAAAGAGAAAATCCATCATAAACGTAACCATTGAAGAAATCCCTGACGAAGAATTCTCCATCAAACGTCAATACTGCAAAGGACCACTGCTGGCACACGTCGATGACCCCATCTTCCAAAGTACACCAAAATGGAAGATCAAATTGGATGACGTCTACGCCTTAATAGCACGAACTAAGGCAGAAGAAGACGACCTCCTCATACGGTTTATCACTGGACAAACGGACACTGGCAAGAAGGTTAACCCAGCAATGCGGATGGCTCAAGAAGCCGAGAAGGAAGCCAATAGCAAAGCAGAATTACCTGAACGGTACAAGGAATTTGCGGACGTCTTTGACAAGAAAAGCTCGGAACGATTCCCTGAACGACGGCCTTATGATCATGCAATAGACCTCAAAGAAGGATTCGTTCCAAAGAATCAGAAGCTCTACCCTATGTCACCATTGGAGCAAGAAAAACTTGACGAATTCTTGAAGGAAAACTTGTCAAAAGGCTATATCCGACCATCCAAATCCCCTATGGCATCACCGTTCTTCTTCGTAGGCAAGAAGGATGGGGATGTACGGCCTTGCCAAGATTACCGGTATCTCAACGAATGGACAGTCAAGAATGCCTATCCAATTCCCCTGATTAGTGAAATCCTGGACAAGCTACAAGGGGCAAAGGTTTTCACCAAATTGGATGTCCGCAAAGGCTACAATAATGTCCGTATCAAGGAAGGTGACGAATGGAAAGCAGCGTTCAAAACCAATCGAGGATTGTTTGAACCGACTGTCATGTTCTTTGGCCTATGCAATTCACCGGCAACATTCCAGTCAATGATGAACGAACTATTCAAAGACATGATTGACGAAGGATGGCTCATCATATACATGGATGACTTCCTTATCTTCTCCAAGACGGCTGAAGAAGATACAGAAAGAACAAAACGAGTCTTGGCACGATTAAGGGAAAACGACCTATTCCTCAAATTGGAAAAATGCCTATTTTGTCAACCAGAAGTGGAATACCTTGGACTGATCGTCAAGGAAAACCACTTGGGCATGGATCCAGTCAAATTGAAAGGAATAGCAAGCTGGCCTGTCCCTAGGAAATTGAAGGACGTCCGGTCATTCTTAGGATTCTGCAACTTCTACCGACGGTTTATTCCACACTTTGCCAACATCTCTCGACCATTGAACGAACTCACCAAGAAGGATCATCCTTGGGACTGGACAGCTGAATGTCAAACGGCATTTGAAACCTTGAAGCAGAAGTTCCTGGAAGAACCAGTGCTGATGATGCCGGACAAATCCAAACCATTCATTCTGGAAACCGATGCATCCAAGTTTGCG